CGATATATACGATACTAATTACACAGTTCTTATATTTGATTATATTTTAACTATATCTAGACCTATAATACTCATCTATTTTAAATCATAATAATGTCTTATTCTCAATTAAAAAATCATTATAAGAAAATAGTATTTTAAAATTACACCAAAATAATATATTTTAATTTACCAATAATTAAGTGCATTCTATTCTTATAATTCCATGTACATATACTTTAACAAGGTATAAATTCAAACAAATAATTAAACATGAGTATAATACATTTTTATTATAGTTAAAGAATATTGGAGTATATATTATATGTGATTTCTAAAAATAGATTTGATGGTTTAATAAATATTGATAAAAAATGACAATATTGATACAGTGTAAAATCGATTACAACTTAAAAATTATTCAGCTCATAATAAAGTAACCTAATAAATAAATTAAATAAGATATTTAACACATTGCGTTTTAAATTTGTTTTTAAATTGATTTTTCTCACCCAACTAAATAATACTGATTCATAAAGTGCGTAATGACATCTAAATATTTGATGAACGAATTATTTATTTAAAGGTTTAACCCGTAACTATATTGTTTTCTATTTTGTTATCAAACGAGCTTGGGTGTTTTAATAATAAAATTTCACCGGTTGAAATATGCGTATTTGTGCTAGATGAAAAATAATATAAAGTCCGAACAATCCTATTTAATGGTTATCGTGTTCGTGTACTTTAATTATGTACGTTGTTATATCATGAATAAGCTAACGAAAGCATTGTAGCAATTTAAAATGTTTGTATTACATTATGATTAATCAAATTTAATTGTATATTATTATTACTTTCCAAAAAAATTACTAACATCGATAAATTCTAAATTTCGTAAATTCATTGTAAATTGTTTTATTAATATATACACTTTATACCACAAGATTTTATTGTGAAACTTATCAGATAACCAAGTGAATGAACTAGAGCAAAATATAATTTTTTATTTCCACATTTGGTGACTCCACTATTTTGAAATTAAATAACGACAATAAAACATTAATTTATTGGCTTTTTACAAATATATAATATATAATTTATATATGTATATACAGACACACAGGGTGTAACAGAAAGACCTGACAAAAAAAAAAAATTAAGCTAGTTAAACATATGACAAAAATTGTTAATATTATTTGATAAGCAAATAATTAAAGAAACATATATACTTGTGTCAGCAAATTCTCAAAAATCATATTTTAAAAAAGGTATTACGTTCCAAATTAATTTAACTAAAAAAAATATTGAATTTTAAAAAAATTCAAAAAAGTAAGCTACTTGATTTAGATAAATCTTTTTATCATCAAAATTATTTTTATAATCAGATTCACAAATAGACAATTTTGAATTTATCCAAACAATTTTATTTTTAGTACTAAAAATAAACATAAAAATGTAGTGTTAGGGTCACTTAATGAACAAACAAAAAAAAAAAAATTAGTAAATAAATAAATGAAAATATATCAATTTAACCAAAAATAATTTCAAAAGTCAGTTCTATTTGTTACACTTTGTATATATACATATATATTAAGGTTATATTTTGTAATTTTTTTTACTGACATTCGTTGCTATTTTATAAACTCAACTCTTGTCACATTGTTTTTACTCATAGAAAGTGTCCCAATAGACGTATGAAATCAGTAATCAATTAGCTGTCATAAAGACGTTTTTTCAATATATTCAAATAATAAAAATAATATCCACTGCACAGATATGGAATTATTTTTCTCTAGGTCCATAAAAGAGAATTAGTTGTTAATTGAAGTGCACTGGTGTAGTGTCTAAAAATGTATTTTCTTCTGAGTATT